CAAACGAATAAGCAACAACTGTCATATTCCTGACTTGGTACAGGCATTTTCTTATGTAGAAAATTGTGAATTAAACCTGGTTTTATAGCTAGCTAAACCTCTCACTTGTATGACAGTTGCTTAAAATTCGATTATATTGACAACGATGTGTAAACAAAACAAACAGTAAAAATGTCAAAATAGGGGTACAACAGTCAACATTGTGTTATATATAATCTTAATCACTATAAAAAATAAACAAATATGCAACAAAGAAACACAAAGGCATAAAGACAAAGCACATAAGCAAAAATGAAAGACAAGAATAAGAAATTTACCACAATAACACAATGACGGGATCACGGATGTACAAGTACTGAGTCACATCAAATGGATACCACCAACTCTAGACTAAACAGTAAAAGTAATATTTAAAAAGACGAATAAAAGAATACTATAAAACGTTATTAAGATGATAAACAACGTCGGTATCTAGAATCTATACTTCAAGACCATCGTGTATTATTTGTGAAGTTGACACAGAATATTTATCAACAAGGTCTTTTAGGAAAAGGACGATACGCTCTTTGACATACCCCTGCAAAACGAAAGTTAAGCATACGTTTAAATAACAGCCTAACGACATCAGAGGAAAGTTTAACATACGATCACGACATCAAAACGGAAGTTTAAAATACGATTAAATAACAGTTAAACGACATCAAAACGAAATATACGATAAAATCAAATCCTGACGACATCAAAACGAAATGTTAACATTCGATTAAGAATGCATATATATAGATGAAATATGTCGAAAAGTAAACATCTCATTTATGCTTTATTAAATGAGTTGAGAGGAAAAAACGGGGCGTCTGTTTTGGATGCATTGAGATTCAAGAGAACACAAGTGTACGGGTGTCATATGGGGAGGAACATCGTTAGCTCTTTCGGTGCAAATGGGATCATCACTCAGATTTTAGTGGGGTTCTTGATGTTCACTTCTTAATACTGTATATGTATCCGCAAAAGAAAAGGTCTGGTTTCCGTCGCAATCTTAAAATATATTACAGGATTTGTCAGGAAAATGTCATTCAAACAATAACCAAACGATACAGAAATCTACAAAACAAGTCGGTAAATTACCTTTCGCCTTGAAACATGACATGTTTGTCCTACAATCTACATGAAACAATAAATATTACCTTCAAGATTATTTCCGAAAAGGTCTGCAATACTGTCACTGTTAACTATTGTTGCGATAAGTGCGTTATGATTATTTATTTTTCATTTGCAGAAGCAAGAAATAATCAGGAAGCTGCAAGTAAAGTAACATGTTTGACGGTTAAAAATTAGTTTGATTCATTTTCTAAAAGTAAATATTTCTTTCCCGTTTACGTGAAACAGGAACTAAAAGTGGAAAATTGCATTGTTATCGAGACATATTGAATATTAAGGAATTTGACATTAGATATGATTTGTTTTTATGTTGCTTAAAACATATGATATTGATAACCTTTGTTTCAACATTTTCAATAGCAGTATATTTTAGATTAGATTATGAAAAGATGCCGGAAAATTATAATCAGAAAATATAAATTAGATTTTTTCTTAACTTATATGTCATAAAAGTTTTAGTACATTAAACACTGGTAGAATTCACTGCTACAGTGTCAGAGAAAGAAAGAGTACACAATACCTCTAAAATATTATAGAATCCAGAAAAATCCGTGAATAAGAAAGAACAAAAGGATATTAAACAAAATCAATTCATTAAACACTGTATAATTTCAAAGTTAAGTATACATGTGTTGTCTACAGTTCTATAGATTTACAAAATCGTTTATGAAATACTTTGTCGATTTGAATTTACAAACGGTGATATTTTTCCCAAATTAAAAATAAGAAAATTACATAATCAGCAATGTATAAAAAACACTTTTTACAAGAAACTAATCAAAGCCAATGAGTCAAGATTCTGCTTCTATAAGTAACACCATATTAGAACGGTTGATAATTCAAACCTATGTATTCGACAAAAAAAAACGCCAGTCAAAATCGTGACATAAAACTCTACTTGTGTGCTCCTGATATCTAAACTTCTTGTATTTGCATTAACAATACATGAAAAATGAGATGCCAAATATCTGTAAGATATATACACAATACATGGACATACGGGAATGCTGCTAGTAAAAAAAAACGTATTTATTTTGACTGGAAACCAAATTGATACTGTATAATCGAATATAAAACATAATCTTTCCACAAAAACTCCGTTTCAATGAGATTATATACAAATATGAATTGTGCAAATAAAGAAATAACCATTGGTTTGAAAAATTTCATTTGTATAACGTCATGATTTGCTATGAAGTTTATGCGCCAAAAGTATTTATCAAGTTTTCAAGACTTTTATTGTATCTGTATTATTATTGTTGCAAGACCTAATGTACAATTTTGTTTGTAAGTTCTAATTCAAGGAATAATAATACTGTTCTTAAAGAGTTGACGGTCACAATTATCTGTTTTCGTTACGTGTTGCCAGTGAAACTGCATTAATTTTACAAATTTCAAATTGACAGCGGCAAATCTTCAACTACAGTACTGTTATTCCTCAAATTTATATGACCAATGCCAGGGAATTTTGTTATTGTATTTACAGATACCTTGGTCTGTTTTGTCCCTTTCCGTATTTCTGTAATGTTTAAGTTAGTATGTTGACCGCCCCATGTCTTGTATGTAGTTCTGTTATTTGATTTTTGACTCATATATGTTTACCCTTTTTGTAGTCTTATTGGATATAAACAGGAATATATTGTTTATGGTCAATTCTGATTCTAATAGTAAAATATATTAGTAGGGAAATCAACTATGTTCTCCTGAAAATGCCTGAACCAAGTCAGGAATATGACAGTTTTTCATTCCTGCCATTGGTCGATAGAGTCTAACGTTTGATTATGTTAGTGTTTAACCTCCTCTTTTTGAAGTTACCTTGGAGTTTGATATTTTTGTTATACTTTTTTTGCAAATGATTTGTAATCAATTTTTTTTAAATAACAGGTATTTGATAGATATATTTTGTTAAATTCGTGAGATTTCTTACACTTCCGCATATAAAACCAGATAATCCTTTGTGTAATCTCTTCTTTATCAAATATTACAATGCTGATAATAGAAAGATATGTGTGTAATATATTTTTCCTCTAATTTAGCCAACATTTTATGTTTGTTATCGTGTAAATATATGAAACAAACCATGGCCATAGGTCAGTACCATAATCGATAGTATGCAAATACCAACGGTATGACCAGGCAAGTATTCAGCACTTTTGTATAAGCATCGTCTTACATTTTCTTAAGTGCATTGTTGTCGTATTGTCTTTTACATGTAACCATTTCTGTTGGTTTCTTTTCATAATATAGCTGTTAACATTGCTACTAATTTATACATTTCTGAATTTCTAATATTTCGGTTTGAGCATTATGGATATCGAGAAAGGTACTTCTGACTCAAGGTATTTATCAGTCGTTGTCTTATTAATTGAATAATAAAAAAATGTTCATTGTTTATCTAACCTTATTTCCTCATGTATAAATCTAATAAAAAATGTGTTTCCTGATCGTAATAGATACACCTATGGTGTGTATGTAGAGATCGAAAAATCATATACCTGTAACAAACATGTTTTCTTTCGCCAAAGTATGTATGTGTCTGTCAGTATCTTGTAATACAATGGTTGTCATTCAATTTGGTTCATGTCTGTCATATTTGATTTTGGTAAATATTTTGTTATAGATTCGGCCTTTATTTTTTTCTCATTTAATTTGTTTTATATTTTTCATATCGAGGCTTTGATAGCCGATTACATCGTATGGATTTTGTCTTTTTTGAATGCCGACCGATTCTATAATTGCTGACTATCATTTTAACTCTGGTGGATAATTGTCTCATTTGCAATCACACCACATCTCCTCAGTTTTATAGTATATATAGCGGTATGGGTTTTGCTCATTGTTGAAGGCCGTACGATGACTTAACGTGCTACGTCATTTGATCTCTGGTGGAGAGTTGCCTCACTGGCATCAATAAGTCGCAGATGCATATTTTGTTAGTTGTTATTGTCTTTGAACTAGCTGTCAGTAACTACGAGTACTCTCAGATATGTAGTTATTGTCTTTTTGTGGTTGGGATGTACAAGTACCTGGCCACGTCAACTCTAGTGTTTTTGTATTTATATTTGTATCCATATGATGAGTTAAGATTTTTTCAACTGATTTTTATAGTTTGTTCTTTTGTTGTATTGTTACACCACTGTCCCAGGTTAGAGAGAGGGTTTGGCACCCGCTAACATGTTTAACCCCGCCAAATTCTGTATGTGCCTGTCCCAAGTCAGAAGCCTGAAATTCGGTGGTTGTCGTATAACGTTGCGTTACATATTTGTTTTTCGTTCATTGTTTTATACATAAATAAGGCCGTTAGTTTTCTTTTGAATTCTCTTACATTTTTCATTTCGGGGCCTTTTATAGCTGACTATTCGGTATGGGCTTTGCTCATTGTTGAAGGTCGTACCACAAGCATACCACATCTTCTTTTTTATATATACTATATCTTCTTATTTGTATAGCACAAACCATTATGATGCAGCTTTCCTACAAGGCACCATGTATAGTTTCTTCTTATTTCTTTAGTTTTAAAATTCATTTTACTAACTGACTACCTAAGATAATTGTGTTAAAGAAAAGGATAAAATACCAAAGCAATATTCAAACGCATAAGTCAAAAACCAGCTGACAATGACATGGCAAAAAAAAACGACAAAAAGACAAACAACAGTACGCAGAACACAACATATAAAACGAAGTCTGAACAACACGACTCCCCCTCCCAATACCCGAAAAAAAGGGAACCGGGTTGTTAATGTTGTTTTCAAATAAACATAAAAAAACAGCATATTAGTCAAAGGGTTCCTTTGTTTTTTTTTTTTTACTCAGAAAATTAGATAATAGAAAACATGGAAAATATTTGGCGAAATGTATTACTAATAAGGTTCATCAAGTACAATAGTTTTGTACCCTTGTATCATACAATTCTATAAAAAAACGAGTTTTTCTTTATAGTTATTATAATGCAAAAATATGCGGAAAAGGTCGATTATGTTTTCTAATAAAAAGTTAATGCTTCAATTTCTCAACTTTTTCTTTTGGTATGCCTGCTGGATAGTCCGTCATCTGTTTCCACCATCTTTCACATCTATTGATGAATACAAAAAAACAAAACAGATTAATGTTCGGCTTTACAAGTAAGAGGAAGACTCGTAAATATATGAAAATATATACAACGGTGATTTCAGTAACTTGTATCATAATATATGTATAAAGAAACTTTCACATCATGTTCAATTTTCTATTTTCTATCTCAATATGATAACAGAAATATCAATGAAGCGAAGGTAATAACAGGAATCAATAAAAAGGCTTGAGAGTTCTCCAAATTACAACAATCACCAAAACTTCAAAGAAAAGGAAGTAAAAAAAAGAGATAGATGAAAACAAAGAATAACACGCGGTCTATATGGCCTGGCTTGGTGCACGTAGACGAATTTGGGTGGAGAAAAGGGGGGAGGGGTTTAACACAAAAACACACAATAAACTGAATGATCACATGCTTAAACAGGGGAAAAAAAACATACACATCATTTAAAAGTGTAGCCAATATTTGGACGATAGCTTAAGTTCCTAAAACTGTTCGATTGGTACTGCTCCTGGAGGAAACAAAATAAATCAGAAACAACTTTTCTCTCAGGTGTCATACAAAACCATAATAAAATGAAGTTTAAAACGTGAGCAAGTATTATATATTACACGCAGAATTATAAGTAGATCATCTAATGTCACCGACTAGATATTAACTACGATTATCACTTCCTTTTTTATTTTCTTCCTGATTTAATATGTCATACTTCTTTCGTATTATATCTCAAATACAAACATATGAAGATGTGGTATAATTGCCAATTAGGCAATTCTCTTATAGAGACAAATGACTTAGAAGTGAACAACTATAGGTCACCGTACGGCTTTCAAAAACAAGAAAAACCCGCACCATATAGTAAGCTATGTATGCATTGTTGTTGCATATTATACACTTGAGAACTATGTCCTTTTTATTGACCTTCTAAGCAAGTACTGGAAAAAGAACGAGTGGCCCTAGTAAAATCTGCTCGTCATACACTTTGATGAATACAAACTTTCGATGGTGAATTTTATTACTTACAAAATACAAAAATATATACACTATGTTTTACAAACATAAAATGTTTGGTTCCTTATCCAACAATCCAATAATGACATTTTAATAGGTATGAACTGTTAGTTTACTTCATGAGTAATCAGAAATTAAGTTTGTTCATGTTGTTATGAACTTTTGTTATCTATTTCATAAAAAAAAATTGTTTCAATTTATCTATCGTTATAATCGTGAACTTGAAGACTAAAATTACCAAATTTAAAGACCTGATAAATTTCTTACTCTGACATGAAATCAACTGGAAAATTAGTTGAAAAGAAATTAATACGTTTAAAAAAAGATCTTGGTTGTAAAGTTTAAGACTATATATTATCTACAATTATTCCCACAATGTGCGACAAAATAGTACTGTCACTAGGTAAAAACTACACACTTTGTTTATAGGCACAGGTACACAAAATCAGTACATGCACAACAAAAAAAAAAAAAAACAAACAAACAAAAAGAAGGAATAGCGCTTTTATTGCTGTTCTTCATCTCAAAAAACAAGTAAGTAATATTTTTCAAGTAGAAATTATAGATTGTGTCGTTAATGTCTTTTAATAAAGATATATTTAATCTCCCTAAAGCACACATACAAATACTTTACACTACTGATGGATAGCCCTTATGGCATGCATGCTAAAATGAAAAAAAATAAAAATGGAAAAACAAACATCAGTGTATATACAGTATGAATCCAGGTTACTCATTTCAACTGTCAGAGGCAAGTATTACAAAGAGTCTAAAGCAGGTTAACTCTTAAACTAAATGTGAACTTCCGTTTTGTTGTTTTGTGTTGTTTAAAATACATAATTAATTTTCATGGAATATATAATATGCAATGCTGCCCCGAAGCAATAAACTTTGTTTTCATTAACCATGCTAACATTGAATACTTACTATTACTTTAACTAGTGGATGAAGAAACAAATATTTGGACGTTCTATCTACACATGTCGTTTTGCTAGACAGCACAGAAGGTCTGGGACCACTTGTACGGTTATATCTCGTAATATAAAGTCATCAAAACTTGTTAAAAAAACATTACATTGGTACTCAGTGTGTCATTATTATCAAGATTATGTATTCACTTTTTGTAATACAATTTGAAAGATATTTAAACATAACGTAAGGTGACTTGATTGTTGCCTAAACTTTCTTTAATGTATTAGTTGTATGCATCGGTAAAGATTCAATGGCGGTTAACATACAAATTATTCGGTCATCCAAGCGAGAAATGTAAGTCGGGTGCTTGTGTGAGCACTTCTGTCCAAGATATATGCACCAATGATTTTGCATAGGTACTTGATGAACAAAAAATATATAGCACCTACGATATCAACCTAAACGAAAAGGGCGGCCATTCGCTCAAGCGTGAAAGGTAGATTGTTCTGTGAACACATCAAGATACATCCATATAGGATTCATAAATATGTGATATATAGTACCCTAAATATAGAGAGACTTAAAATTGTGCATAATTCGTTTTGTGGATTGGGTTAACTTTCAAGATGTATGTATTCATGACGAAGTGTCTAGGGAGGGATAACATTAACCCAACATATAGATCAAGACGAATTATCTTATCTGAGTTGTATAAATGAATATTTTAGCAATCAGTGTTAATGTTAGTATAACGGACTTATTATACTCAGACTTTTACTCACTAAGTAAGCATATATTATAAAATCCTTTTAACTTGATTATGTTTTCTAGCTAGTTGGCTGAGTTTATTTGATTGAAATTAACAAATTTCCTTATGTAAAAATGATTCGGATATCATCACAAAAGAATCGTCATGAACGTAAAGTATATATCGACAGTTAACAGGAACTGCACAATAAATACAAGTAATGTTGTAAAAGATGCTGTTTGAAATATTGCCTTTATAAGTGTCCATTCATACAGACCACACGTATTGGCACAATGCTGACAACATATTTTGCAATTTTACAATTAAATTTCTTACTTTTATGTCTAACAATCAATCTTGATGTATAAAAAAGTACTCAATAACGGTATCTGGCCTGTACAAGATTATTAATAAATAATAGGAAATATTGGCACTTTTTATTGTTATCAACATTAATATAAGTAACTGTAGACTTAAAGAGCTTCCAATTTTGTGTTAAATTATTCGTCCAAAGGAACCAAATGAACAGCATTTTAATGCTGTTGTGTATTATTCTAAGAAAAAGGAAAATATTGACAACTTTTTTATGACCCAACAACAATTTTGCAATTTATAACTCAAGTTTCTTTACTTTTATGTCTAACAATCCATTCTGGGGTATTATAAGTACTCAATGGTAAGACCAGTACAAGAATATGCAAAAAAAGGAATATTGTCACTTTTTATTGTTGTCGACATAAATATTACTAAAAGTAGAATTAGAGAGTTCTCAATTCGTCTAAGACTATTAATCCTTAGGGACCAAAAATGAAAAGAATTTTAAAGCCGTTGCATAATATTCTAACAAAATGGAAAATATTGGTACCTTGTTACGATGAGACAACTTATGTTGCAATTTTAAACTTAAATGTCTTTACTTTTACGACTAACAATCCATCTTGAGGTAAAGTACTCAATTATCAGACCAATACAAGAACTTTAATAAAAAAAAAGGAATAGTGTCACTGTTTATTGTCATCGACAAAAATACTAGTTACAATAGCCTTATCATGCTTATAGAGCTCTTAATTTGTGTAAAATAATTTATCCAAAGGGACTAAAAGAACAGAATTTAATGCCGTTGTATAATATACTTACAAAAAAGGAAAATATTGACACCTTTTGTTGATGCCGACAAAGAATGTATTCGTAGGTATAAAAAGTAATCAATTATCAAACCAGTACAAGAATATAAAAGAAAAGTTTCATCTTCAATTGCAAATTTTTATGTCGGAAATAATAAATGAATCGTTATTGATTCACACAAAATTTTGAAAACATATGCCTAACTTAATAAATTTAATGCAAAACTGTTGTAGATTCGAAAATGATATTTAAGATTGCGTCATGCGTAGGTGATAGACTGTTGACAACATTCTTTACGGTAGTTTTATCTTGACAAGGATTAAAGAAATATCATGCAGTATTTACATACCAATGTAATTATTCAAGTGTTGAACCTATATCCAAAAAATTGAAAACAACACGTTTAATAATTTCATCCGAAGCGCTTTTCTGGATTTACCTTCATCAGGAACGCTCAAAGCCAAACATTTGAAATCCGAGGGATGTATAAGTACCGAAACAGTTAAAGAGCTATATGACAAAAATACCTAAAACAAATAGCCAAAAAACCCATCTAAGGTCAACTATGCTCCAATATGTGATATATAGCAGAGGATCATACCTCTACAGAACAGAACATGCATCTGAAATTTGTGTTTTCGGACCATGTCATCGTTTTAAAATCCATCTCCAATGATAAAAAAATAATTCAAAAAGTTAACGTTTCCGGAAGAAATATCTTTTTGTTATGTATGTACAGTTTTGAATTTTCAATTAATTTAAGACGTGTCATACATTGTTATCGTAAATCTTTATTTTTGTACGGTAAGACATTTTTACGTAGCTAGTCATGTCATATAATAGGTCAGTTTACTACAACAAGCTTAAGGTAACGCGCGTTGTTTAATTATGTTTATTATTAAATCATATCCCTAATGGAAAAAAAACTCACGTTAAGGTAGCATCATTATAACCATATCTTTATTAAACTTAATTAACCTTTAGGCTAAAGTTTAAAGTTTATTCCGTTAAAGCTAGTACAATATGTATCTTACTAGATACAGCCTGTTAATAACACAATTCCTGTTCTTCAAATATGTATATAAGAAATAAGATAATTCTGCCTGGTTTTATAATCGATTTAAGATTAAATCAATTAGCTTTTATCCACATTACACAGCAATAATATTATCTATATATTCTGTATAATAATATATGTTTTGAAATTAAAAACTAATGTGTAACTGTTCTTGCTTTATAAGCTAAATTAAAAGTCGTCCGCATGAGGCTAAATTTTAGAACGAATTAAGTTACAAGGTATTGCAATATTAATACCCGACAAAATAATGTTAAACATATTATATATATCTGGTTACACAATTTAAACTATTTATGGGTGTATTTTCTAAAGAACGAACAATTTTTGTTAACCAGAGACAATGGAAGGGGTGACTTTTCAACTGCATGGTGTAAAACTTTGCAAGTCATTCGAGTTTCATTGTTCATTCGAGCATGATATGGCCACCTGCATCACTTTGAGGAAACGCAATCAAAACAAATGATGTTTAAAAGATGTCATTAATACTCTATGTGAAATTGAAGTCAAATAACAAACAAATAAAAAGAAAATGTTTTACAACGAACAAAATCTGTGATATTTTCATTTCTATAGGAGATCCGTTACAGTCAGAAGCATAATGTATTTGAGGATTAAAAGAAGGTTAAAAGCTGTAATTAACATTTGTTAAATATGCATTACTGAACTGTCTGAAAAGTGACTAGACAGTTTAAGAACGAATATTACTTCTTGAGCGTTCTTGGTGAAGGTAAACCCAGAAAAGAGCTACGAACACATGAAATCATTTAACTAGTTGTGTTCATTTTTTTTAATTAGAATATTCGTAATTATAATCGAAGAATACCTTGATTTTTTGGGGGGAAAATGTAAAGACTCGCTAGATTTCTCACTCTCAGTCAACTGAAAAAAAATGTCATCAAGGAAGTAATGTTTATTTCAAATAATAAATCAGATTGTATCGACAACGCTTATCTTTAATCTCAGTCTAAATGTATCTTATCTCCTTCAAAACACTATACAAATATGATTGATAGAAAACGAATAAGATTAAAAGTACGGGGAAATTAAACATGCAATCGATTTAAGATTATAGTTTGTGGTTAGCACTTATGGTTTTTTTATATCGTTTTGCATTTCTCCAGTTGCAAGTATTACACATTTTGATGTCAAAATGTTAACCATATCCTTATTAAAATTTAACAAACTTGAGACTTATGATTAAAAGTTTGAGTTTAAAGTCAAGACAATATGTTTCTTCTTGGATGCAGCATGTGGATCAAACGATGCATGTTATAAAGTGAACAGTTATCAAAGGTACCAGACTTATAATTTTATACCCCAGACGCGCGTTTCGTCTACATAAGACTCATCAGTGACGCTCAGATCAAAATATTTATAAAGCCAAACAAATACAAATGTGAAAAGCATTGAGGACCCAAAATTCCTAAAAGTTGTGCCAAATACGAATAAGGTAATCTTTGCCTGGAATAGGAAAATCCTTAGTATTTTAAAAAATAAATACATTTGTAAACAGGAAATTAATAAAAATGACCATATAAATGATATTCATGTAAACACCGAAGTGCTGACTACTGGAGTGGTGATACCCTCGGGGACGAAACGTCCACCAGAAGTGACATCGATCCAGTTCATTTTAAGTTGATGCTGTCTGATTAAAGATCTGTTTCAATATTCTTTAACTTGTGTAAAACATAAATGTTTTTCTCTATATATTCTGCACAATCATATGTGATCTGAATATTAAAAACTGCTGTATAATGTGACCTGCTTTACAAACTCAAGTAAATGTCTTCCGCATGCGGCTCAGTTTTAGAAAACATAAGATTACAAAGTATTGAAATATACCTGTCCATTGTTACACATATTATACATGTAATTATATATACATATATTTTGTACTGGTGGTCAATTTATTTGGCAATCGCCAATAGCAGTCAGCAGGGTTTAAGAACATCCGTTGTTCGACCTGTTAGTCAAATGCGTTTTGTTGAAATATACTCTTTCACTATTTTGGTCTTTTGGAAAATGTTGTTTGTGCTGTATTTAGACCCCTCTACCTAGAAATTTGTTTTACATGCACACGTATAAAAATTGCGGTTTTTATCCAACGCAATCATAGGTTTGAACGTTGTTTTCAATTTAGACTTGTTTATATTTTTCCGTTTGGGCTGGTATTATATTTTCCTTCGGGTTTATATGATCCGTTCATCCTATTTTGACTCTTTAAAATTCAAGAGTCTATCCTAAATTGAGGTAAATTAGATGGCCTTCCAAATATCGTTTCGATCCCTAACATCACTGAAGAGACATTAAATGTCGAAATCCGGATATGGTGTATTAAAATTTTTGCACCTTATGTTTGTGGTAAACCATCTTTTCCACAAGTTTATTGTTTTCTGTTTGGTATTAAATTAATATTAAGATCCATTTTGTACTGGTGATCAATTTATTTGGCAATGGCCAATGGCAGTTTACATATATATATATATATATATATACAAGTCTAAATTGAAAACAACGTTCAAACCTATGATTGCGTTGGATAAAAACCGCAATTTTTATACGAATGCATGCAAAACAAATTTCGTCGTAGAGGGGTCTAAATACAGCACAAACAACATTTTCAAAAAGACCAAAAAAGTGAAAAAGTAGATATTAACAAAATGCATTTGTCTTACAGGTCGAACAGTTGATGTTCTTGAACCCTGCTGACTGCAATTGGCGATTTCCAAATAAACGTATCACCAGATGTAAACAAATTGATCTTAATTTCTAATTTAATTCCAAACAGAAAACAATAAGCTCGCGTAAAAGATGGTATACCGCAAACATGAGGTGCAAAAATTTCTACACCATATCCGGATTTCGACAATTAATATCTCTTCAGTGATGTTAGGAATCGAAACGGTATTTTGGATGGCCATTTAATTTACCTCAATTTAGGATAGACTCTTGAATTTTGAAGAGTCGAAATAGGATGAACGGATCATATAAATCCGAAGGAAAATATAATACAAGCCCAACGAAAAAATATAAACAAGTCTAAATTTTCTATTTTGTTTATGCAAGGAGAGTGTCATAACATATTTGAATTATAAAATCCTTCCATCACCTCTCGGGGGATTCGTAGGTAGCAATTTCTTTCATGTTCCAGCATTTTGTAGAAATCAAGTGTCAGTCTGAATTTTCCGCACTTGGTCGTGGTTGACTTCTTTGAAGATTCTACATTGTACATTTTCCATATCATTGATTTGTACTCACACAGAATATGTGTAAAACATTTGATACTGGACAATTCTCAAGCAACAATCAGTCCAACCGAGTGATTTGCATATTTGCTATTTTTAGGGGGATGTTTGATGTCTTTGTTTCTATTGCTTGTATTGTTTGGTGTGTTATGTTGACTTGATGTCTGTCAGATGGAAAGGAATATAGATGCCACATAAATCATTCAACGATACCAGGCTTCTAATTTGGTAAGCCAGATGTACGTTTCCTCTACATCAGACTCATCAGTGGCGCTCGAATGAAGCTGTTTGATTCCCTAATTGAACAGAATTTGAAGAAGATCTTTAAACCGACAAATCCGAAAAGTATGGCCAAATTCGGATGAGGCACTCTATGTGTTGGGAATAATAAATCATAAGTGTTAATGATTACTAATAATTCAACAATTTATTTACATTACATTTACAGAGAATGAACATATCAATGGCATTTGATGCTGACTATTGGCCTGGTGATACGCTCGGGAAATCAGTGGAATCGCCCAAGTGGTTGTGAATCCCATCAAAGGTACCAGGCTATTTTAAAACTAAATAAAAATCGTAAAAATCGTTATAAAGAAACTGTTTATCAGGACCTCGAATCTTAAAACCTATTATTTTGCAAAGTAACAAAACAATTGAGTACTTTACTAAGAATTGTTTTGTCGTTATTAATTAAACATGAACATAATATTTGTATCTGTCATAATTTTTCAGATGTTAACGAGAGGCATCGTCAAGCTTCTTGAAGTTGAAAAAAATGTGTCATCGCAAAATATAAGGCAATAACAGGGGAATACACAATAAACACTAGAATATTTGTTTGTAGTTATCTCTTAAATATCCAGGTGCATGTAACACATACTCTTAATGTTTGTATTTCAAATGTCAAGACGAAGGCAAACTTTGTTTATTATGTTACAAAAACACGAAAACGATAATACAGTAACTTTTGAAACTTTATGTCAGGGTCGGCAAATTTGCTTCATTTTGGCAAGTAAAATTGAAAAAATGAAATGAAATAAAACAACATTGCCTACACATTCTTTATTTTCTGGCTATAACAATTTGATCACATAGTTTTAAATGAAATCAATTCAGCTATTGTTTTCCTAAGAATACCACTTAAAAGCGTAGACGTGGCAGTTCATTTCAATATAATCACCTATAGCTCCCAATTTTGAACCTTTTTTTTGTAGAAACAATTCTTGTGTATTATATGATTTTCAAACATTGTTTTCCTCATTTTACAACATATCTCACACATGTCTTGAACGTATATTGAATCCTCTTAAAAAAACTCATGATGTCAGGATATTTATTATATGTTTAACATTAAACATTTACCAACATCATCAAATGAGACTTATCACATAATGTGTACTTACCACGAGCAACACAATTGGTATCACTAAGTGATCAGAATTTGTTTACTTTCCAGGCGGTTGATATCACTTTCAGTTTTAAGAAGTTTTTGTATTGCTTTTTTTTTTAAATTGCTTTGCGGAATTGATTGTCTGGTCGTCGTCGTTTATTTATTGACAACGTGTTATCAGTTTATATCGACTTTTGAGTTTTGAATTTCCTTTGAGTCTTTAATTCAACCACTTCGTTACAATCCCTGTAATATAGTTACCTTATCATTCTCACATGTCATAAACTGTTGACACTCAGTAGCATTCTCCACACCGCTGCAATATAGACATTTTATATTTACATCTAAAAAAGGTATTTTGTCAAATACATAAAACTATAAATAGTTTGCATAACATGATAAAAGAATATTTAAAAATATTTCATATTGTATCCAACATAAATACATTGGCTATACTTTCGAACAGTTTGTAAGATTGTCTATGATGTCGAAAAAAAAAAATGAGACACGCCAGCCTTTTGCTGATATTGTTAATCGCAAAATCATTATTTATACACCAACAAAGAACACACTTAAGGTTATCACGTTATCTATGAACGGAAAAAGAGAACGGATGTATCGACAGGGCAGTCGCCTTCTTTAATGCATGCATAAAGATTCACACAAAACTCTTCTTAGTCACACATATATAAACAAGGAATGGGACATGTAATGGTGCCTAAACATTAGACTGTAAACAAAAATGGAATGTGTGAGTTGAAACATAGAGCTTTTCGTATCAGTCACTCAAATCGAAACCAGAACACTTGATTTCTATAATAATAATCTTGTCATTAGTAAAATTTGTTAGATTTGTTGTACATGCCTGTATGTTGGTCTGTTGCAGTTATTGTACCCGATTCATTTTCGATCATCCATTTATATATGAAACTTTGTTATCGTTGATAGCATTTTCAATTATATTAATAAAAATGCTATCTCCTTCCTTCCCTTTGTCCTTTTTTGAATTATAAATACTTACAACTTAAACCAGTTAGGAAACACAATACAAGTATATATTCTGAAATAGAATTATTTAATGAACACATATTATTATATTTGCTTTTTATCTTATCTAAGTTAGGTAGTTTAAATATCGTTAATTTTCAGCGATTGAAATAGTTTAGGCAAGTAATTCTTCCTGCTTTTGTTGGTTCATTAACATTTTTTATAGTGACTGATGAATATTCAGGAACCTCATACGGACGCCTACTTCTGCCATGATGTTATGTGATGACGTTAGTTTTTGTATTTTAAAACACTATCAGAATTATTTACACCATTTTTTAGCTTTGTGTTTTCATATTAAAGAAGTTCTAAGACATTTTCGTTACTTTTAGATTCGCGATATTTTTCTACTAATATAGTTTGGTTTACAAAATATTGTGTCGTTGATAATTAACTAAATATTTCTTAGAATCCAATGTTATTACTTAATTATAAACACATTGCAATATAATAAACAATTAAATTCATTCACACAGGTTCCCAATTGGTTATCAATATAAAGCAAAACAGGTCTCATAAGGATTTTTGCAATTTGGAAGTTGAGTTATATCAAGGAATAACTGACCTTCCACGTTTACCCGTGTTACTAATTAGATTGTTTTGACTTTAAGTTTATATTTCAACCGTGTTCAATAACAGCCCTTATGTACCTCGTCTGTAAGCGATTCTTTACATTAACACTCGTTGCTTTTAGAACAGAAAAAGTCATGGTGCCTTGAATTTACTTTGATTTCACGACGGGTACGTCTTTAATGTAGATATTTTAGCCGTTGGTTTTTTCACGTGGCAAAAGGACCAATCCTTGTATAAATCAATAATAATTAAAGCGCCCATACATTGTTTAATAACAAAGTAAGTGTGCTGTGAAAAAAACCCACTTTGTATATTGTTGTCCAATATCGATAAAGCTGTATATATCTATGATTTAAGACGTCCTTATTTTCGCTGATGAGATTGGTGATAGCACTGCGTGTCAATTGAAACACTTTTAGATAAACTTTTGGCCATTATTTTTTTTTTAAATTATACTTATCATATTTAGGAGAGTTCATATATACTTTTATGCAGGTAACATTTTCAGATCTATGCTACATGTACATAGAATCTTCGACATGCAAATGAAAACGATATATTTTGGTTCATTTATCTATTTTACGATCTGTTTGTTGACTGTTCATAAGGTAGGAAATATTCTCCCTTTTTAAATATGAATAGGCCATTCAAATGACAATTGCTATGTACATAATGTTGATTTCTTTTCTAATTTATCTTATTTCGTGAAAGCTGATTATTTTGTCTTACCAAATATTATAGAAATTCAATCCACTTATAAAAACAGTGACGATATTGTTAGAATATAGCTATAAGACGATCAACGTGTCAATGCTCTACAAATCAGACAAAACTTGATAAAGGAAAATGATGATAAAATAAAGTGCGTAAAGTGAAAAGTATATTTACTTCGTATGCAATTCAATAAGATAATTCATTGACAAAAAAAAGAAATGCACAACCCAATTTTACCTCACTGACAAAACGACCACTATATACATAATTTTCAATTATGTCTATGGTTGCAATGTAGTCATATAAGATCAAAAGAAATAATTAGTAATAAGTTGTATACTTGCAATACCCCTCGCAACAGCTAGCAGCACCAAAAAGAAAGATGGCGCTCATGAAGGTTTGATGTGAATTTGTTGCAGAAAGTTTTGTGTTTTTATACATTAAGAGATATTCTTTACGTCTTTCCTGTTACATCGATGTTACTACTAATTGATTGGAATTGATATATTAAAAAAAACAGAACTATAATTATAAAAAATGCAGTTTAAATTGCGAGTTATAAAATAGACAACCGAGTGAGTAGTAATTAGCCAATGTTTACATATAGATGTACACATAAAGTAAACTTTTAATATTGCAGACATAGTTTAAATCGCCTCATGAAATATGTCTCAACAACAACAACAAATAACCAGTTTTATTTCTACTGCTTACGTCGATTAGCTGTCAGCCAAAAACACAAGTAATGCCGAGGAATCAACATTTACAGAGAAAACTCGAGATAAACAAAATATCACAAATCCAGCCAAACGTCTCCACTCTTGTCTCTCCAGCTCCTCGGACCATAGTTTTTGTATAGAAAACGAACCTGACGAAATCAAGTAGTCCCTGAAAAATATCCCGAAAAAATCAGACCTTACAGAGATTGTCACCGATATATTTAAACAATTATCCGAAAACCTAAAAATAAATTTAAAAAAGAGATAATGTCGGAAGTAAAGTCAGAATTCGATAAATTAAAAACCAATTATGATTCCAAAATAAATAATCGTCATGACAAATTAAACACTATTGAGTTTAAAAATGGGAATCTCCTAGAAGAAAAATGCTAGTCTGCATTCTGATCTTAGAAAAATGCGGAATGTCGTTGATGATAACAACAAGAAAGCCACTGAAAGTGTTCGGCTTGGTAACTGGAACGAACAATACTCACGAAAGGAAATTGTGAAAATATACCAATTACCAGAAAATCGAAGTGAAGACCTACCACATTCTCTTCTTAACGAACTAAAAAACAAAGTCAAATTAGACATCAACCCGTCTGAAATTGTTACAATGCATAGATTACCAGGAAAGAAGGGGGTCCAAGGCCAATTCTCATAACATTTCTTAGGATGGATACCAAAATTACACTTCTGCGTAAAAAGAAGAGTATAAACGAAGCACTCAAAGTTAGAATTGGTGATGATATTACAAAACTCAACCAGGGTCTCCTAAATAGACTGTACCAACATGACAATATTGTAAGCTCGTGGCATTTTAATGGTCAAGTATATGGATCAGACGAGGAAGGAACTAGACATCGGTTCGAAATATTTGACGACATAGGCAAAAAACTGAAAAAATAAAATGTGTGTAAATCACTTTGAACAATAACATGCTTTCCATATTTGTGTGATATTGTCAAGTACCATATGTATTTTTATATAATTCCTATTCATTTATCATTATTTATTGTCTACAACACAAGTTTGAACCATTGGTTAATATTTGTCTCTTTGTCTCTCATAGCACTCAACTATTTTTATTTTGTAATATTTTCCGGAAAATATACGTTTCCTACGTATTTGGTTTATTTTAGAAATACTCATATTTGCGGTTTGCTTGCAGACTGTAAACATACAAATTTTATTATTTACATCCATAGGTAATTCGTTTTTACACATGATATTTACACGCAAACAACTGACGAATGGTTGCACTATTAAAGAATGTCATATACATCTATCTTCCTAAATATAGTATTACCAGAATCTAAAAAATAGACAATCTAAAAGCGTTTCGCACTTCTGCACTCGTAAATTGAAACTTAAGTCAAGCTTACAAACTTCTGTCAAGCATATTCTATAGATAAGTCTTGTCAATTTCACTGCGCATTATTCAATATTTGTCTGAAATTCAGTAATAGTTATACACCGAGGGATAGGTGTGTCTGGCTAAGAAACCCCGACGGCCGGAGGCCGGAGGGGTTTCTTATCCAGACACACCGTATCCAGAAGTGTATAACTAACTTACACCCGATGCTAAACCACACATTTGTTAAGATTGCATAAGAAATGAAAAATAACGGATAATTTTTATCAAACCATGATTAATAAAAAAAAAATAAAAATGTTTATGTTAAACCCCACTAGTAACCTCCTTACTTTGACCATTGTTGACCATCTTTATTCAAACTTTGACAATAGTTTACTGAGTAGATTTTACAAATGTCAAAGTTTCTGTTTCGCATATTATTATTAAATGCATGTGATTTCATTGGCCGTAGCTTTTACATAGGTCAAGGTTAACCGTATCGTGCATTCTTATAAAAAAAAACACATCACGTTCCTTGTATGCAGTTGCCAGTATGGAGGGTTATGAGACAGACGATATTTTAAGTCAGGCGTTAGATTTGGCAGAAGAGATTGAAGATGATGCTATATTTATTACCCAAAATACTTTTCAGTCTAATGAAGGTAATCTAAAATGTATGTTACATGTTTTATCAAAAAAGCACCCCCCTTTTCCTAACATTAAACAAACTTTCACACTGAGTGATAGGTGTGTCTAAATTAGAAACCCCGACGAACAGACACGCTTTATATACAAAAAAAAACCAGATTACATATGTAGGAACCCACTTTTTGGGGCAGCTATTGTGTTTTGTGGGATTATGGGAAACGCCCCCTTTCTAGTAATGACCTTCATGTTGAAAAAACCCTTTCAAATATGCAAATATGAGTGGATCCGCTCTTACATACCATTCTGTCCTAAACATAATGGACATTTTATAGAAAATTCACAGCCGTTCTTTTCTAAAAAAATGATACTAAATCAACAGATCTCTGTAATATAAATCAGTATTTTGCTGGATGACATCTAAATATAGCTTTTGTATATAATTTATATTGGTATTATTCGTCAACATCTTCCCATTTTTCAGATAAAAAAGCGGGGCGTAAGCATCGCCCCCCCCCCCCCCCCCCCCCCCTTTTCTCCCCGGATCTTCCAACAAATGCGGTTTGCCAGTAAAATGGAAGCTCTTAGTACCATTGCAATCAGCAATCCCCTGGTGAATCTGCTACTTCTAGATGAAGGTACAGAATCGGCCAAGTTGTGACGAATGGGTACCATTGGTATCTTTTTTTAATTTCCAAAAACTAACAAGTATTCAAATTACAGAAAATCGACGCCGTTTTTTTTGAAAAGCTAAAACTTGTGAATACATCATTTATTATATTGCTCTGCATATCATTAGGTCTTTGATCAGTCAATTTAGCTATTGTTACCAGTAAACCATATCATGATGTACATTTTTTAACTCAATATAATCATGATTTTATTTACCCACAGAAAACGTAGCTGAGGAAGGTTCTGACATCGGTGTATTTCAACTTTTACTTGAAGATGAATGTGAAGATTTGCGCTGAAAAGACTGTGTTCCTAAAGGTATGTTTACAGTAAATAATATGTTATGCCGCTGCACAAATCGGCCACAACAATGCAAAATTTCTAAAGAGCTGGCCTAATGCATCTTTCATATAGGTATAATCCTTGAATTCATGAATATTAATTGATTTCAGGGATAACAGACTTTGCATTGAATCTTTAGTGGTTCTATCGTCGACTTCTGTGTAGTAATTGTATCCATATCTGTAAAAAGTTGATCGACAACGTTGAGACATCCCCGTTGCATTCAGTCAAGATCCAACATTACGCCACCAAATTCTTTCAATCGTAAAAATAAAAGCAATTGTAGGGCTGACACACTATCAATTTAGCTATTGAAAACCGATAACTTTACCCACAAAGCATCATTCAATCCTTATATGCCAGTTGTATTTTTAAAGACAAATTATCTACTAGCTACCAAGCATAGTTAAATATACTCTGAGACCTTTAGTATACCTAAAACTACTGTTTGGTGGGTTTCTTGGTAAAAATACGTTTATGGGATGCACAAAATCCTAAATCATGCACCTATATTAATCTTTTAAAGCTCATAGAAACAGATGTATAAATAATTCAAATATACCAAATCTGCTTAAGCCGTTTTCAACTGATTTTTATAGTTTGTTCTTATGTTGTGCTCGGTTACACCACTGCCCAAGGTTAGAGGAATATTGAGCGCTCAATGATGTTCAAACCCGCAACATGCTGTATATGCCTGTCCCGAGTCAGTAGCCTGTACATTGTAGTTCAGTTGTCGTTGGTTCATGTTGTCAAATTTGTTTTTGTTTTGTTATAAATTAGGCCGTTAGTTTTCTCAATAGACGTGTTTTCAAATAACTGACTTTTGCCTCTGGTTTATAAAATGTTTCGTTCCTTTATTTATATACCATCAATTCATAACAGTCTTCCAAAAAGCTTGTTATTTTGAAAAGGAGTAGCGAACATCCTTAATAACATAAACGGTACCAATTTTACTGCACCAGATGCGCAATTCGACAATCAATGT